GGGATCTGTCCCGCATACCCGGAAAAGCCGAGTATCCGCACTACCGGTACATACCCGGACCAAGAAAAAAAAAACGAACCGGGTCCAGGTGTTTCAAAAGGTTATCGGAAATTAGATCGGAAGAAATTTCGTCGACGGTAAATTGATCGACGGTAATTTGATCGAACGGAAATTTGGTCGAATATTTTTTTTCAGTTCACACGTTAAAATTTTCGTCAAATTTCTTTTTGAACTCAGCACGATACAAAACAAAATTATGCGTTCAAAAAGAAGTTTGAAGCAAAATTTTAACATAAAAACTGAAAAAAATACGACCAAATTTCCGTTCGATCAAATTACCGTCGATCAGTTTACCGTCGACGAAATTTCTTCGGATCAAATTTCCGGATACGGTTTCAAAAAGATATATCTTCTCATTTTCTTTGATGTTGTTAATTGAAACTGCAAAGCTCTGAAAATAATAATGTTTATGCTGCGAATTTGTTTGTCATATTTGTCTTCGCAAGGTGTATATCTTTGGCTCTGTCCACTGCAGTTTCTATCTTACAAAAGAAATAAAAAATTACTGGTTCATTTCACATGCTGACTGGCCGATGATGCTGAGTGGCTAGTTTGTGAAAAAGTAATTCTGTGTATATGTGTGAATGTATGTGTGTGTGTGTTTTAAACATCCTTAAGTTCTGCAATAGAATAAGGTAATAGCCGTGTTATTTAACACTCAGTCAATTACGTGAAACAATTGGCTTAACTGAAGGATGACTAGGTTGGAATCGCCATAACATTCATATAAACATCTATAATAATTCCCGAGTGGATCTGGTCCGCCCTAGGGGAGTTAAGGAGTAATAGATATGTAACAGTAGCTGAACTGTATATTAAATCCCTTGATGTCTGACATTCCCCCCATTAATTTTAATTTTTTAAAATGTAATCCCATTAGACCTGGAAAAAAAAGGCTTGTGGTTGCCCTACATTTCGTACTTAGGGTTTTTAGGTTACTATTAGATCAGACGGGTATTGACTTAGGGTATTGTTTTGTACGCTTACTGGAAGGGTTTTCAAAAGTCAAGCGGTATTCCCTTATTTAGTGCCGTAGGAAAAACAAAAAATGGAAAAAGAGGGGGGAGGGGTGGTGTGGAGAAAGTGACACTTCAGTGGCAGATTTTCTCATTATATGGACGGCGGCATTTTCGACCAACGTGTAAAAGGGGGGCAAAAAGCTTGGCCCGCCCCTAGTGGCGCTAACCCGAGCTACGCAAATGCACGGGTAAGATGGTACTTGATTTCCGACGCCTATTGATTTCGCATGTTACCTTAACAAGCCATCGAAACCAGCATTAGACTATTGGTGTTATGAATGATGCACCTCCTCCCGTACTTTACACTCACGACGTGGTTGTGTTGCCCCAGCTAGTTTGTTTAAATAATGTCTGTACTTTGATATCAGAAAAATGAAAGCTGCCAAAAACCAGCGACCATCAACACTAACGCATATAGCGGAGCTCCGTTCCATGTTTGAAATTGTTGTGTTTATGGGTTAGAACAATGGTTAGCAACACAAAATGTCAGGGTTCGTTAGAGAATTTCATAAATTTGCGTGGGGTGGGAGTGGGAGTGGAATTAGATATGTAAAATGTGTATTTTTTCTTATTTAAATTTTTATTTTAAAATTTAAATATCATTTACTATGATGGGATTAATGTCGTATCTATAATTTACTAAAGTAATCATTTTTTTTTTTAATTATGTATCTGTAGTGTGGTCAGCTACATAAATAAAAAGTAGGATTAATTTCGTACAAGTCAGCAGCTAGTTTGATATAAATATTCTGGCCGTTTCTTTTCATTAAAAAGAGAATAACATTATATATGATTTTTAAATTTTTTTTAAACTTAAAAATGTGTCGCCCTCAACGAATAACTATAACCAGGCACGTTAATGGATCGAACGTTTTCTTGGGATGGACTTGCAGCGCAACTTCTACTGACCCGACCCCGGCCACACACACGTCTTAGCCCTTATTTCTGCTTATCTCGACCCCCAATCTAAATTGAAGTAAAAAAAAAACTATTTATCTACAAAAAAAGCACAGTCCCCATCGAAATTCTCAACATATGTTTTAAGATTTCGAGTAACTGTTGTTTTTGTTTTTTTTAGATTGATTTCATCTTCTTATTGATTTTGCAATTATTCAATGTATTTACATTTTGATGTCTTGCAGTTGTACCCAAAGAATTGGAACAATGAACGAAATCGACCTCGCCGAATGTGAACTCAAACACTTTGATTTGCATGTTGAACAAAGCCATAGGCCAACAGAGGTTTTCATTCTCTCTCTCTAGCAGACCTTAATCAAATTATATAAAAGGGGAAAAAAATCCCAGATAATATGTCCTAATTTGGAAGCTATCTCGCGATTACAGTCAGTTTGGTGGTCGCTAATAAATCCAAAGATAATTTACGTGGACTTACTTTCAAATTTATTTGTGAAATCCCTTTCAAAATGAGTGGGTTTTTTTTATTATATTTTTTTTTTTTTGCACATACTGTGAAAGCAAATTCAACGTGTGCTAATTAAACAAACCCTTAAAACAGATGTTCATATGAATCCTGTATATGGATTTTCGGCTGCATTTATTTAACTGAACGTGAGATATCATGTATTGAGAAACGATTGTGTAAATGGGTAAACGTCTTTTCATGGCGAAAACACGTTTCATATCTCAATTCATTTTCCCCATTAATTTTTTTTAAAATTTTTACTGCATTCACAAATACGTCACAAATACAAAGCCTATAGGAACAGCTACACAATTAATCTACATATTAATACACGCATCAATTTAAGATAAGATAACATAACATAAGATAAGATTCTTTTATTGATCCAAATAAATGGAAATGTTTTTTGATTGCATAATATATTTTCAGAACAAGAATAAAACAATTTGAACACAGGACAGTTATAATAAATTATTTCAAGCAGCCATTCAGTGAGTTCTCTTAGCAAAATTGGGGACTCATTGTTTCTCATTCAGATGTGTGACTTCAGAGGAAGCACGCCGGTAAATTCGTACAGATTGGGGAACAAAAGAATTTTTATATCGACAGGTCCTCGTCCTGATGGAAAGAATTCGTCCCGAACGGCCCGATCCTAAGTATCTATAATAGGATAAAGAGGGTGGGATGTATCATCCCAAATGTGTTTAGTTTTGCAAAAACATCTTTCTTCAAATAGTTCTTTAATTGAAGTATGTTTAGTTTGTGTTATGTTTCTAGCTTTCTTGATTAGTCGGTTTATGCGGTGTTTAATATCAGACGTTGAATTCCCACACCAGCAGGTAATACTGAAATTAAGGAGGCTTCCAATAGTTGCATTGTAGAATAAGTTAACGACTTGCTTGTTTACGCCAAACTTGTACAGTTTTTTGAGGTAGAACAGTCTTTGGTTGAATTTCTTATACAGGATTTGGCCGTGCTCATGCCATGTTAGCTTATTATTAATGGTGACACCCAAGAACTTGTATGCCTCCACTTTCTCCACATTTTGATTTTTTATCTTGAGATCTGTAATCTGGTGTTTCCCCCTCCTGAAATCAACAACCATTTCTTTTGTTTTTTGAGACATTCAGCTGGAGAAAATTTTCATCAAACCAATTGATAAAGCTTGTTACTAAGTTACGGTATAGGCCTTCTCCTTCAGATATTAAGCCAACAATCGTGGTATCATCAGCAAATTTTAAGATTGGAACGGTGTTGCTTGAGCTTTGAATATCATTTGTATATATTGTATACAGTACAGGAGAGAGAACGCAGCCTTGTGGTGCCCCGGTGCTTATTTCTCTGGTTAGAGATACTTGGTTATTTACTTTGACATATTGTGGTCGATTTGTTAAAAAGTTCAGTATCCAAGCCTGAATATTTAAATTGACACCTAACGAGGAAAGTTTCTTCATCATAAGGTGTGGTTGGATGGTGTTAAATGCTGATTAGAAGGCTAAAAAAAGCACTCTGGCGTATGTTTTAGGACTATCTACGTGATGGTAAAGTCTCTCCAACAATAGTAAGACTTACCAAAGCAATAACATTCCCCACCCCCTTTTGAAAAAAACAGTTTAAAAAAAAATGATTTTGGAGGTTGGGGACAGGATGGGGGTGGGGGCTAAAAATTTGAAAGAATGGTGTTGTCATCGGCAACGAGTCTATGTGCCACGTTTCAGCGCGATAGGATGACAAGTGTGCTATTGTCATCGGGGGTGGGTGAGTACACACAATGTCAGCTTAATTGGAACTTAGGAAGTGGGTTAAAAATGAGATGCAAGCAACGCCGGCCTTAGGTAAACTTTCGCCCTTTGTGAAGCACCCGTTCGGCGCTCCATTCTATGTACCTGTATGGCTCCGCTCTTTTTCCGATTTCGACGTAGGTTATGGAGCACGTGTTATGATACTATAGGCATACATGTAGCTAACCATACGCATTTTAACATGCACATTAATTTAGACTGTTTAGTTTTCCTACGGAACTTCACAATTCACTAAAATAAAATAAGGGAGTTTAAATATTTACTGGGCACCCCTATGGCCACTGCACTCTGTGCGAGGGCACACGTCACCCGCGCTAAAGGCTGGCGTTGATGCGAAATTCCACCGCAAAACAATCTAATAAAAATCGTATACAAACGTGAAATAGAGAGGCCAGAGAGGGGGTGGGGGGTGGTGTCCTAAAGGACGTACTTTATGGACGGCCCTTCACCAAATAACTAATAAGTGTCCTACTTATTCAGTGTCTTGACAAACTGGGAACACCTGCGAGAATATTATGATTGCCTTTTAATGAACTTAATTAATAAAATATTGGTCTGCACTTGTGACTCTTTTGAAGCAGGGCCTCAAAAACTAAATTAATTTGCGTTTCATGGTAAATAATGGTACAAAATTTTAACCTAGGTGAGGTAACTCGAAAAAATATGGTAACCGTTACTTCCGGTATTGAATGTTAGAAACACAAGAGAAGAAGCCAACTATCTAGTGTCAAGCATTGTAAACATATTATGTAATATGTAATTTATAAATTAGTTTCACACCAGTTGAATACCTCAAAATATAATTTCTAACTTGAAATTCATGGTTTAATTTGAATTTCACTTAAATTAAGTAAGTCTTAATTAAGATATAAACTATAGGCCTATCTATCATTGAGTATCCAATGACAATGATATCATTTTTAGTTAGAGTTGGAGGATTCCGACCGATTATGAGTATGAGTCATACTATGAGATATAATATTTAATATATATAATAATAAAATTTAAAATGATATATTGACTATTATTTTTGACATGACCATGACGATTGCTAATTGGACTGATGGCTAATAAGGTGAAGTTAAAAAATTTTAAAGTTATAACTAGATACTTTGGTCAAAAATGTAAACATTTTTTAAAAATAAACCAATGGCACAGTTGAATAGAGCTAATTTTAAACATAATTATAACACCAAAATCATATTTTTAGCTGTTGTAGTTTTAAAGTTATGAATTTTTAAAGTACGACTTGGTTTGTCATTTTTTAACATAGACTGCATCTCCACATTCTGTGACCTCATTCCACTGATCGCGTCATGCGCAATGACTATATAGTTTATATAAGGCAATGCATTCCCTTATCACTAAAATACTGTTTAGGGTCGACTTATTTTAAACTTTCAACTTTGGCACATGAATAATTAATAAAAGCTTTCCCTGACCAATGGTTTAATAGCTTTTGCACACGGCAAACTCTTATGAATGAAACTCTGAGATAGTACTACAACGTAGCCGTTATGCAAGTGGCTGTGAATGGTTGCCAATGACAACGTGTTGCACACGGAAAATTCTGATCATTTATATTATGGACTCTGCAGGGTTTTTAAAGCTCAAATTTAAAAATTTCCAGTTTAAATGTCTTCAAAATGCATTCTGAAACACAAAATATAAAATATTTTGATGTATATAGTGGTAATAATTAAATATTTCCTAAGTATCGGCAACTTCCGCCATTAAAAAGGGGGCGTGGCCCACGCCATGTCGAAATTAGGCTGAGCCACCTTATGGTGATATGGGTCACTGTGACAAGTGTAACAAACGTGAGACACGACCTACATCAATGAAACTTGGCACAGATATAGATCAATATCTAATGCTCATACAGATTTAATAAAAAAGGACCTTATCTTATTATTTCACAAAAAATTTTGTATGCGAAGATGCCTTATATATACCAAAGATTTTCAAAATAAAGGTCGATTGAAAAAAGCAAAATAGCTGGCTAGAAATGTAGGCCAAGATGTCTTCCAAATTATAAGGCCGGAAACGGAACTCAAATATATGTGGAAAGAACTAATTTAATAATAAATAGACACACACATCGGAAAATTAAAAACTCGGATTTTTCGGCGCCGACGCCCATTTCCGATACAAAAAAAATAGTAGTCTCCCTTCTTTCATCGAAGTATCTATTATAACCACAAAATGAGTAAATGAGGTTGATTTTTACAACTTTAAGTTCTATCACCAGTAATCAACACTTTATATTGATTACTGATGCTGTATATGTTTTAGGTGACTCATGATACTGACTGAAGCTGCTCACTTTGTAGACTGTAGGTACTTCGGTAAAAAATATAAAATATTCCATTTGTATAGGTATACCGATACTTCCTTGCGCATTCATTCTGCGCATAAGGAAAAAAAACGCAAAAATTTAAATGGCCATTTTACAATCGCTTCTACAGTGACCTCGGATTTATGCGTTTTACGTCACAGTTTCCTATTTATACATTTGTTTTGTCATCGATTACGTTAAATATTTGTCTTCCGGTGACGCACATGTCTTTAGAGCAACTTGATTTTTCTCTGTTATTTTGTTGTGTCACTTTGAATAAATCTAATAAAATTAGTAAAATGTATGATAAAATATGACAGAAACTGATTTGATGATTAAAATTATAAAAATTCCATTGATTGTTGAAGTTGAAACTTGATTTTTTTTTTTTAATAAAGGCGAGAATCGTATCTAATATTAATATGCAAAATACAATAAAAATAGTTAAATAGTAATAAGTTAAACTAAGTAATAAATAAACATGATATTAGGCTTAGTTAAAATAGTTTAAGACAGACAAGTCAACTGCTATGAATAAATAAAATATGAAATGTAATTTTAGGAATAATCTTTTTATAGTAATAGTTAATCTAATTCTATTACTACGACTACAATGTCTACAACCACACTTACATTTACATGCCTAATTAAATAAAGTTAGTGTGTTTTTTTTAATTTAATAAGGTACTAAAATTTACATTTTTAATAATTGTAAAGTTAATGTAACATTATAATGCTTAGACTTCTTACTGTATGTCTTTATAGGCTATACATATATTATATTAGAATCAGAATAATTGTAAGTTTATTGAATTAACAGTCTAGTCTAGATAATATATTTTGTAGTTAAGCCTAAATTATTCTATATATTACTATAACTTATGACAGTTTTATTAAACTACATCAAATTAATAAACAAGACTTAAACAAAAACATTGTAGTAATTATATTTTTATTAGAACATAGAAAAGAAGTACATAGACAATTATTTAAGAAGTACATAGACAATTATTTAATATATCAAATAACATTTTTTAATGAATTAGTCTCATCGGCATGGATGATTTTATTTGAGTAATTTTTATTTATAATTACATGTGTTAAATTTTATATATTAAAAAGGCTACTTACCTTTATAGTATATAGTAATTGATTTAAAATTCAACACAAGCATAATAAAATTAGTTAAAATTCAATAAACATATTATTTGTTCAGTTTTTCCTGTATAAATAATGATTTTCCCAATTTTTTTGTTCACTTTTTTCTGAACATACCCACAAATAAATATTTAAAAAAATGAAAGTCTTGATGTTATATAAAAGTTTTTTTGTTTCTTGTACTGTATATTGCATTGAGAATGTCTCCTGAAAATTTGGTAGTATTATCTTTTGAAATGAAAAAGTTTTGGGCAAAATAAGGCAGAAATTTGGAAAGTGGGTCACACGTTTTTTCAGTTAAATACTAAGATAAACAAGGGGGTTTAAAAAAATCACCAAAAAAATCACCAAAAAAAATCATAACTCCACTTCTATAAAAGATAGAAAGAGGAAATTGGTGCTGTAAAGCTTATAGCTAGCCCTTTAAAATGATGTATCATTCATGGCAATTGGACAATATTTACATTTTGTGTCAAAGTACCTAATTTGTATAGACTATAGACACTATAGAGGTAAAAATTGAAAACAGAATAAACTTTTTACCACTACCTTTATTAATTAGTGCCTTTAGTACTTTTTGAGCTATGAAATAATATAGACATATCAAATATGACAATATTGGGGGCAATCATATTACTTTAAGTATACATTAAACTGTATCAGTTTTATCTATTTGTCTTTTAATATAAAACTATAAAATAGCCTATACAAATTTTAGCCAACTTGTTCTATTTTTACAGTAATTAGACTTACAGAGCTTGAAAAGAAAAAGTGGGTTTATTATTTTGCATAGCATGCTAGATTAAATAACTACTCACTGTGATTATAAATAACACACATCTATTTAATTTCTTCTTAAAAGGTTCTTATACTTCATGTTTAAATCTTCATCTATCATCTTTTTCCTTCAGTGAGTCAAGTCATAATATGGATTTAAGCGATGAAGAGCTTTTCAGACAAAGAATGCATGAAAGTTATAGACAGTTAGCTCAGGACCTCCACGATCGTTACAATGAGCTTGATTTAGTTTTAGGTCACTGGCCATCACACACATTTGATTTGATTGATCCCTACGAGGATTTGGAATTACAACCTAGAGATGGTATGTAGCTTTATTATGATTAACTACCATTAACAACTTCCAACTAGCAACAAAATGGGGAAATGCAAAATAACAAGAGCACAAAAAAAGTAGGAAATTGGAAATTTAGACATAGATTAATTAGAAGAAATAGTCAAATTTGTGGAAGACCCACTAAAGACTCTAACCAAAATCAGAATGCATTTTCATGGATAAGTATAATTCATTCAGTGAGACAAAATAATTAAACTAAACAGCTCCTTACACTTACACTGACATCATAGCCAATAACTTCATGATCCTACAACTTTTGAGCATGCCACAAGACATGGGTAAAACATCAGGATGTGTCTACTTCGCTTGTGAAGACTGGACCTATTGGACAATACAAAAGAGATACTAATGTGATCCATTGGGTGGAAAAGCAGATGACAGCAAATGTGATCAGAAACATGTTAAGAGGACATTGAGAACGTGATCCAGTGGCAGGAAAAGCAGACACAGCAAACATCATGTGGAACATGTAAAGAGTACAATGAGACACAAAAAACACTGCTGGTCATCCAGTGCATCCTTGTCTTTTCCCAGTTGTCTTGACTAAGTCTCGCCACTGGATCAAAATAGGCAAGAATGAGAGAGGGAGGCTGATGAACGGCACAACTCTCCCTCACTTTGATCAACTTAAAGTGCATGTCAGGATTATTATCTCTAAGCATCTAGGCTACCCTATTTGAAATCACCATTGTTCACTTAACCTTAGAGAATAAGTGCACCGCTCATGCAATGTTCCCTCTAAGGCTTGTTGGTTCGTGTGTGCAAAATCATAAAGTTGCACATTTTTTCAGCATCAATTTTTTGTGTGCAAATTTTACAGCCTACAGACACAAACACTCACTTAAGTGGAAATTAGCTGCGCAGTACTCAAAACTGCTGCGCGGCGTCTGTGAGATTGCTGCGCGGCCGCGCAGCTTAAAGGGAACATTACGCTCATGCCCAAAGAAATCATATGGCACAGAAAAGCAGAATCTACTCAAAGTCACCTAAGACCCCAAACAACGCGTGTCTCATGTGTGGTAAAGCTTTCCAGGCACAAATAGGACTGGCAGACCATCTGCATATTCACTATAGAATATACCTTTGGTGATCTTCATGTGCAAAGGGCCAACAACAGTTATTCTTGTAGAGAAATTAACCCAGGAATAAATTAACCCTTAATTAATAAAGGGCTGCATCACATTAACTTTACTTTCACATAGTTTTTGTAGTTATTTTATTTAAACTTAAAAGTAGAAAAATCACAATAATTTCATGCTATTATCATAACTTCTGGTGATAAAAATTTTTCATTGTTAAATTTTCAGCACCATGGGAAGAGCATTGCTCACATGAAAAATATGACAGAATAAGGAAGCCTCCACTGCTATCTACTGATGCTGCTTTAGTTCTTAGAGACAGGGAGTATGGTATAACAAGAAGGAAAATAAGAAGTAAAAGTCTCAATGCTCTACACTTAAAGTTTTACTCTGAACAGCTGCTGGACTATGTGTCCAGTCTTGTTCCGCTCCTCCTCAAAGAGAAGGAATTTAACCTGGGTACTGTAAATAAAGTTTTTGCCTCAAAGTGGATCAATGAGTCTCAAGTTGTCATGGGAACAAAATGTAATAAGGTAAAAATAATGTTTTGAGAAAAACATAGTTCTGGGCTAAAGTTAAAAAGGGTTGTTAATTTTTGTTATCAGCACATAAACTTTCTATTACATCAGTGTTAATACTAAAATTAAGTAAAATAGATGGGGGGAGGAGACCTCGAATAAATGAAAAACTGCCTTAAACATTATTTTATTTATAACTGATATAAATAGCATTTTTAAATAGTTGCTACGGGATGTCTTCTAATGTGTCGCTCATTTCCCCATGCAGCTCCTTGTGATGGATGTACGAAACAACAACATTGTACATATCCAGTCTCTGAAGAGCTCTACTGAAAGTGTTGCTGCTGATTGCCCTTGCGGCATCCATAGTATTGCCATAAATCCCTCTGGGACACTGCTAGCCACGGGTGCCCAGAACACAAACGATGTCGCTGTGTATGAACTCCCTACTTTTGATCCCTTGTGTGTTGGAGAGGTAAATAAATAACAGTCGTTTGTTTTTTTTAACAATCTTTCCTGTTTTCTAAACTGGATGTGGATCACACTGTAGAGTTGCAGTAATAAAGGGAGCAAAGCATTGCAAGAGGAAATGTTGAGTTGATTTAGACTCCAACATGAAATTCATCAGATCCACATAAGCTGTGGTGTTTCTCATTAAGTTCTTGATTTCCATTTTTAAGGAAAGATCACTGCGGGATCCTTACCCGTTATCCAGCTTTATTGGTCCGTGTTAAAACTCCAGACCGTAGTTCAGTCTCCTATGAAGGTTGATGATAAAATAAATGAGTCAAAGGATTATTATTATGTTTTGAAAAAGGATTGACTTCAACTCATGTTAGAGATGGAATGTGTGCTTTTGCTAACAAAGAAACAAGGTCTACCCTTAGTCTAACCCTGGTTTTTATTGAAATCAGGAGTGTGACAGTGGCAGTTTATTATGTTACTCCACACCAATGCTAAGACAACTTTCTCCCTTTGATACATTTCTATATAGTAATGGACTAAAGACAAATTTAGACTGAAATAAATTAAAGTTATAATTTATATATATTTTTATAATCATGTCATTTGTTTGCCTGAGTGTTTGTCTGTGTATATGTTCCCCAGGATCCCAGGGCATAGGTATTTTAGAACCAGGAGCCCAGGGCCTATATATGTTAATATCAGAGGCCAGGGGCATTGATGTTTTAGAAACAGGGTATAGGTATTTTAGGACCAGGAGCCCAGGGCATAGGTATTTTAGGACCAGAGCCAAGGGAAAAGATAATTCAGGACCGAGAGCCCAGGGCATAGGTCTTTTAGGACCAGGAGCCAAGGGCATAGGTATTTTAGGACCAGGACCCAAGGTTTCTAAAGAGTTAAGGGTTATTCAGCTACAACAAAAAAGTGGAACAAACTTTTCACTGTATATTATTAGTAGTGATATACCGTCTAATAGAGACTTCAAAATAAATTTTATAATTATGATTTACAACAACAAATTTTAAATCAAGCCCCGTGTTAATTATTTTTACAAAGAGTAAAAAACCTAAAAATGAAATAAAAACCAGCTTGTACCATTATAACCAACCATGTTTTTTTTTAAAGTTCATATCTTAGCTGGATTTTTTACATTAACACATTTCTAAACAATTATACCAAACCTTTAAGCGTGTTCCATTTATTAACATAAGAGCACTCCAGCAATGATATTTTATAAAAAATAAACGGATCATTTTTACATTAAGCTAACACAACTGCACTAATGTCCAAGTTTAAACTAACAATTTTTTTAAAAGATATTCCTCACTTTTTTATGTTTATCCTGTCATGTGATTTATTGTGTTCTGAATCACCAGCAAGCTCACAAAGACTGGATCTTTGACATGGACTGGGTAGATGATGAATATTTGATAACAGGTAAATAAACTTTGTTATGGGTTGGGTATGAAATTTATACAAAATAATTCTTTTGAACTGGTGTGTAACTGCCATGTGGTCAGTCTGTGGGAAATTAGAATTTTTTTCTTACCAAGTTGTAATTTAAAATATGTTTTCAACCTATCCATTTGATATATAATTATGAACAATTGTGCTTTAAAAAGTTTGTTAAAATTCTGTAGGATTCCTTTATCCTATTAACTTTCTGCATTAGCTGTTCAAATTTTAAAAAAAATTTTTCAAAGATGTTAATAAGAAATAAAAATCCCTGTTGAAAATCTGGAGAATTTATTCATTCATCAATTACTAACATAAGAGAATTTAAGTTTCTCCATTATTTTTGCCTGACCTCATGTTGCCAGACGATTACAAAATAATTAAAAAAGAAATTAAGTAATACATCATTTAAAACATCGTTCTCCGATGACCTATTTTGCATTGACAGGCTCAAGAGACAGCTCTTTGGCATTGTGGTGTGTTGGCAATCAGTGTCTTTCTTCCAAGTCAGTCGGAGAGCTGAAAGACCATGGGCATCATGTGATACTTCCTTATTCAACAAAAATCTGCAGCAATGCACTTCGGGTCAGAGCTTTGTCGCTCATGAGAAACAGACAGGTTTGTCATGTCCAAAAGTTTTCACTGGTTTTTAATATCTTATAATCAAACACATGGCAGTATTTTTTTTCAGCCCCAACTGCATATCACAGGAGCAAATGGCTGGATCTCTTTAAGGGGGGAGTGCACTGTTGTCTTGCTGCTTAAAAGATTCTGAGAAGTGATATACATGGGCATTGGGGGTTTGATGGGGTTCTCAGTGGCAGACACTTAAAGCTTAATTTAGATGTAAGGTTAACCCTTAAAAATGGACTTGGGTGTCTTTTTTAGTGTCTTAACATACCCCCCCCCCTTTTTCCCCATTTCTCTCCAGCTTTTCCCCCAAATTGTTTAATTCATTGGGACTTTCATCTTGATTTGGTCATTATGTCCTTTCGATACATCTGATGTTGATATATTTTCCAAATGCCGTTGTACCAACTTATTCACAGCTTTTTGCAACAGAGACTTTTCAGGGTCTCTTAAACAACTGCAAATTATAAGAAAAAGCTTTCTTCCAGTTCTTAGAGAGAATTATGACTTGTGTTTAGGCTTTAAGATAAACTTAAAATAATAAATTTAGTTGATAATATATATATATATTTTACATTCTTTCAGATTATGGGTGTTCTGTCAATGAATGCAAAATTTCACTTCTGGGATGTTGTGACTTTTCAGCAGGTAGGTGATACTGTGTGCTATGGCGTCCTTTACTTTACATTTTGTAAGCATCTTTGAAACAAATAGTTATGTTTTATAAATACTCGTCTTTGTTAAAATAAAGCCTTTTCGTGACCTTGGGGTAATCACTAGTTTTGAGCCAATTATTGCAGACGGTGCAAAAGGACACATTTTTTTATTTCTCACCCTAACCCATCATGCTGCGGATCACCAAGGAATGAATCACCTGATAGATTGGCTTAGGAATGAAGTAAATTACAAAATATTGATGATGGTAGCATTTCCAACGAAAACATTGAATGATTAACGCTATCTTTAAGAGGAAAATGAAAGGGCTCAACCCTGTTAAACCTAAGACATATGTGAGGGTGCAGCAATTTGGGATATTTCAGGGCCCCCATGGCCCAACTTTTCATGAACCAAGGAACACATTGGATTACTGATGAATTAGACTTCATCGGTAAATACTAAGTCGCATTGTAAACAGTTTAGTGGCTATGGAAGACTCTATGAGCCCATGGTTATTGTCACTCTATGAGACCATGGTTTATGTCACTATATGAGACCATGGTTTATGTCACTCTATAAGAGCATGGTTTATGTCACTCTATGAGAGCATGGTTTATGTAACTCTATGAGAACATGGTTATTGTCACTCTATAAGACCATGGTTTATGTCACTCTATGAGACCATGGTTTATGTCACTCTATGAGAGCATGGTTTATGTCACTCTATAGGACCATGGTTTATGTCACTCTATTAGACCATGGTTTATGTCACTCTATTAGACCATGGTTTATGTCACTCTATTAGACCATGGTTTATGTCACTCTATTAGACCATGGTTTATGTCACTCTATTAGACCATGGTTTATGTCACTCTATAGGACCATGGTTTATGTCACTCTATTAGACCATGGTTTATGTCACTCTATAAGACCATGGTTTATGTCACTCTATGAGACCATGGTTTATGTCACTCTATTAGACCATGGTTTATGTCACTCTATTAGACCATGGTTTATGTCACTCTATTAGACCATGGTTTATGTCACTCTATAGGACCATGGTTTATGTCACTCTATTAGACCATGGTTTATGTCACTCTATAAGACCATGGTTTATGTCACTCTATGAGACCATGGTTTATGTCACTCTATTAGACCATGGTTTATGTCACTCTATTAGACCATGGTTTATGTCACTCTATTAGACCATGGTTTATGTCACTCTATAGGACCATGGTTTATGTCACTCTATTAGACCATGGTTTATGTCACTCTATTAGACCATGGTTTATGTCACTCTATTAGACCATGGTTTATGTCACTCTATTAGACCATGGTTTATGTCACTCTATTAGACCATGGTTTATGTCACTCTATAGGACCATGGTTTATGTCACTCTATTAGACCATGGTTTATGTCACTCTATTAGACCATGGTTTATGTCACTCTATAGGACAATGGTTTATGTCACTCTATTAGACAATGGTTTATGTCACTCTATAGGACCATGGTTTATGTCACTCTATTAGACCATGGTTTATGTCACTCTATGAGACCATGGTTTATGTCACTCTATAGGACCATGGTTTATGTCACTCTATAGGACCATGGTTTATGTCACTCTATAGGACCATGGTTTATGTCACTCTATAGGACCATGGTTTATGTCACTCTATTAGACCATGGTTTATGTCACTCTATTAGACCATTGTTTATGTCACTCTATTAGACCATGGTTTATGTCACTCTATTAGACCATGGTTTATGTCACTCTATTAGACCATGGTTTATGTCACTCTATTAGACCATGGTTTATGTCACTCTATTAGACCATGGTTTATGTCACTCTATAGGACAATGGTTTATGTCACGCTATGAGACCATTGTTTATGTCACTCTATGAGACCATGGTTTATGTCACTCTATGAGACCATGGTTTATGTCACTCTATGAGACCATGGTTTATGTCACTCTATGAGACCATGGTTTATGTCACTCTATGAGACCATGGTTTATGTCACTCTATTAGACCATGGTTTATGTCACTCTATTAGACCATGGTTTATGTCACTCTATAGGACCATGGTTTATGTCACTCTATGAGACCATGGTTTATGTCACTCTATGAGACCATGGTTTATGTCACTCTATAGGACCATGGTTTATGTCACTCTATGAGACCATGGTTTATGTCACTCTATTAGACCATGGTTTATGTCACTCTATAGGACCATGGTTTATGTCACTCTATAAGACCATGGTTTATGTCACTCTATTAGACCATGGTTTATGTCACTCTATAGGACCATGGTTTATGTCACTCTATGAGACCATGGTTTATGTCACTCTATAGGACCATGGTTTATGTCACTCTATTAGACCATGGTTTATGTCACTCTATTAGACCATGGTTTATGTCACTCTATTAGACCATGGTTTATGTCACTCTATGAGACCATGGTTTATGTCACTCTATAGGACAATGGTTAATGTCACAGTGAATTGTATTTATGTCCAAGCTGTTTTTTTATAACACAAGAAACAAGTTAATGCTTTAAAATTTCATAAAATTGACTTTATTTTACACTAGCTTGATTTCTCGAATGGCATCAAAAAAAAAAGTTTTTGCTTCATATTATTTCAGTTTCTAAATGACATATATTTTCACACGTTGCAGCTAGAAACCATCAATTTACATTCAAAGAGAGAAAATGTCTGTGTGGCAAGCTCGGAGGAAAGGGGACTTTTTGCAGTAGGCTCACAATCACACGTTACCTTAATAGATCAGAGGGCACAAGGCGAAGTTAAGTGCCAGGCTATAAAATTATACCATCCACAAGGTTTGTGTGGTGTTTAATAAAAAAAAAAATTATATCTAGTTTTTGATTTTGAGAGACCATGACCAAGTTTCTCCACTACAAAAATAGTTTTGTAGTCGGGGTCATTTATTTTTAAATGGCTCTTTGTTAGTTTTAAGTTTTAATTCACTTTGCTTGCTGACTGTATGAACAATGGCTAGCATGAAGTTAAATTTGTATTTTATTTGAAATATTAGCTCTGCTAAAAATATTGTCACATATCTAGTTTAGGCTTTCAAAATCTTTAACAATTTTATTTTATTATGCGGGACTTAAATTTGAAGCCAAATGATTCCTTGAATGAAAATGAACTTGTCTTGTTCATTGCCAGGTGTTAGATCTTTAAGCTTCAATCGCAGCATCATAACCATTGGCACCGGTCGAGAAGGACTTCGGTTCTATGACACAAGAATGTCGAGATTCATCTGTGATAAAACTGGTCGAAAGTGGCTAGACTATAAGGTTGGGGATGGCTGGTTGGTGAGTCAAATATTTACTATAGAACTTACATTGTTTTTTTTTCCCGCACAACTTAACGGCCATTTACTATTGACAGTTCACTTGTTGACCTTTACTTTGGCAATCAATACAATGCCTGTGCCACATCTTGAAATCATCATGTAACACATCAAAAAAAAAAAAAAGGTAGCATCCGAGCAACTTGTTTTTGTAACATATTTAGTTTTGTCTTGATTAGGTTGATGTTGTTTGGGGATTTGATAACAGGTTCTTACCTGCCTTTATAATGATGATTAATGAGAAATTTTTTAGTAAAATGGAGTACAGTTAAAGAAAAAAATAAGTTACAATTCATTGATGAGTGTTATACAAACAAGGAAATGAAGTATACCTAAATATTCTTACTTGAATAATATTACTTGCAGTGCAAGGATGACAGCTACAGACAACACTTTGATGGTTACAAATACCCCAACGCTGTCTACACCCACTGCTATGATGAGTACAAAGGACGGCTGTTTGTGGCTGGAGGTCCCCTGCCTGCTGGATTGTACGGGAACTATGCAGGGTTGTTTCACTGATCACAATTATTGTGTGGCATGCATCTTTTTTTTTTATTAGTATTGTTTCCATTACTATGGATGATCTCAAAACTCCTAGGGGAAAACTGTTTTGATATCCTTAAGAACGAGAAAGAAAGGTGACGTTGTTTAAGGCTTTTAAAATCTCTAACGTATTTTTGTCTTCTAAATCAAATTTTTCTCTTTTGACCATAGATTAGAATGTCAAGGCAAGGGACTACCACCCCAATCCACCACCACCACCACACACCTATTTTTTTTTGTAAACCTTTTTATTATATGAGACTAGTTGTGAATCATTCTTTATCATGTCCCTCAGCCGGGGAAACTAAGAGCTGTTCCCCACCATTGCTCTTTATTTAGATAAAATAACCAAGTTAAAGTTATATTGAGCTTGGTTCTTATATATATATTTTTTTTTTTTTAAACAACTACTGTAATGATTATGTCTGTGTGTTGAGAAATTTTGTTTCATCTGTTCTTGCTTGTATATCAAATTTATTTTTTTGAGAATGCTCAGTATTTACATAAAGAAAAATTTGTATGACATAGAACCCAGAGTTGAACACTGAGAGAGAGGCAATGCTTTACATTTTTCTAAACACTCAGTATTATACTTTGAGCAATACAATTTGTTTTTTAAAAACATAATGTGGGGTTAATAACAGCTTGATAATTTATCCTGAGCTTTATCGCCTCTCCCTGGCCTTGAACAAATGATATAATGAAGTCGCTGGGTTTGCCTCATGCTAATAATGAAGTCGCTGGGCTCACCTCATGCTAATTCCCTTGTGATCCAGAAATAGTTGGTTTCGTGTCTCGGTGATGAAAAGTTTGTTGTTTGGCTTCATTTTTCTCCTCCTCCATTGTGAGTCACAGCAGAGCTGTGATACCATCAACTATTTTTTTAATTGCTTTCTTGTACACTTTTTGAAAAAGAAAAAAAAAAGAGAGAGAGAGAGAGAGAGAGAGATGAGTTTTAAACATTGTTTTATAAGAATTTATTTCATGTATTAATTAGGATATATATTTTGCATACTAGTTCACAGTGCAATTATTTTACATTAAAAAGAAAAAGGGGTTTTGGTACAATGTGTACTGCCTGCTGTTATTTTAGTTATTGCTTTAAGAGAATCCAAGTATTAAATGTTAAATTTATTGAGACTGCTTGTTTGCTATCTGTTCGTTTTGAAATAACTTATGTGCCATTAAGATAACTTTGTATTTTTTCCCCTGATGGGCACAGTCCATTCTTGGCATTTGACCATTTCAAGAGATTCTAAAAATCCAATGCTCAATCCAGGATCTTTGATGTGTCAGTAGGCGGTAGTTTACATAAGGGGCTGTCGCACAAGTCTAGCCCGCCAAGGTCTAACAGTGAAGTTGTTGATGGTTGAGATATCTTTGTTTTATCCTCCTGTAGATATCTTTACGATACTCTAGCTGATTTTGATTTTAATTTGTGATGCCAGATTTTTTAATTTTAACTTTCTTTTTGAAGGGACAAATCTTGCTTTTTTACAACTGTCAAAAGTTAAGGCTTTCTTAAAATTTTTCTCCTCATAGGATTTTGTAGCATTTAAATCATTCGTGTACTCAACCTACTTTCAGCAAGATGTACCTAATTTTTGACAAAAGGAAAAAAAACTGTTTATAAAATAATGTGTATAAAAGTAGTCTATTAAAGAAAAAAAAATTAATGTTTATTTTAAAATATGGTTCATAAATGTTTATTTTTTTTAAATTCAAATAAATTTTTAAATTTTCAATCTTAATTTTTAATAGCATTCCATATCAGTTGTAAACTAGTATTGTGCCTTGAAATATCTGAAATTCGACCACTTCGACTTCATCAAAGTGTAAGATGTTTTGGACTTTTTACAGAGTTACTGGCCCTTGGTTAACTCCCTCGTTTTAAAAATAAACCAGCCATAATAAAAATGCATTTTTCAACTAACTCTTGATTTTGAAAAGCTATGTCAGCTTCGGCTGCTCATGCCTTTTTAATTGAAGATTTTTTGCAGACCCAAACTAACACTGGAAAATTTAGATCATGCGTCACAAGGAGAAATATCCCGGTACACATATCAGTAAGCACACACCTTTTTCTTTTTTTGTTTTGTTGTTGTTGTAAGGAGCAAAAGTAATTTTTCAAAAATGAGTTTATTTAAACATTATTATGCATTCACAGACCAATAACTAGCAACAGTATTTACTCATGATGAACCAGAAATGTGTTGTTGTTTTGTGTGTGCGCTGTGATTGCTTATCTCTAGAGGGGAGCCATCAATGCTTGGGACTAGGCCTTAGACTGAACCTCTCCCGCACAATGTGCTCAATGACTGCTTCATAATACAATGTACATTTTTTTTTGGTTGGATTGTATTCATAGCCGGATTGTTCCCGAGGACAGACTCATGCAATTTGTCTGTGTATTAATGTTTGGTGTATATGGAGCATATGTTCTTTCTTCTGTTGTTTATACTTTGTCTCATCTACTGCTATAAGTGGTTACATGTATATCTATCAAGGATCGATTCACATAAGTCGAAGACATAAGGGTATCTTGACTTGATTCCCAGTGTCATTAAAATACACAATTGTTACCAAAAAGGAAATAAAACTGTCATCGCAAATAATAATATTCTCTAACTGTAAATTTCTCAGAAGTTGGCACCAATTGGGATTCTTATAAAGTGCGTAACTTTAGTCCATACAAACAGCCAGCTTCCGCTCTAATTCTGTAAGATGTCTCATTTGTTATATAGACCTATTAAAATTCTTGTATGATGATGTTATGTGATCACAAATGTTTATTTCCATGTGGGGAAATAAATAACATTAAAAATGTATAAACTATTTTACATTTGTTTCATAAATTTTCTTTTACATCCTCTCCTAGGTACTTGAGTCCGTGGTCAAAGTTGTGTGGTTTAAATTTTTTTTTTTTTTTAAATTGTCTGTGGAAGAAACGTTGAAAAGGCCATAAACAAAATGAAACAGCTATGGTCTCCGCATAACCCCTGTTTAAAAAAAACCCCACGTAGAAATAGTGTTCAATCCAATAGTAATGTGTGTAGGTGTGACGGCAGTGGAGTGGGATCTCACAACACGTTGTTAGATCGATCTTGCCGTGGCCAGGAAAAAAATAATAGCCTCAAACTCCAAATCTGTGACGTGGTATCTATCAATAGCTTTTAATAGTTTCGTTAACGTCATGCAGTGTCCTTACATGAGGATTGTTATTTTTAGTCAACTTCAATAAGTCATCTCTGTCGAACGCGGAAGTTGAATCAGTCGGCATTTAAGTCAATGCGATTAAGATTGAATAAGTGTTTTGTTTGTTTTTGTTGTTTTTTTTTAAAACTAAATAAACACCATAATAGCGTAGTTCTCAAACTGCGGACCACAGCCGACGGGTACCTTGTAAGCAGTGATAAATATGGAACCGGAAATTGACCGTCTCAATATCAGAAAGAAGGCCCTTAGTGTCCATTGATTTTTTCGGTGCTGTTTTTGCCCCATAAATAAAATATGATCAGTGTTCATAGAAATGCTTTAAAAATGTTTTAAAACAAAAGAAAAAAAAAAAACAACTTTATATTAACTTCGCTTTTGTTCGTGGGTGGCTGGCTGGCAAAATCTTCGGCCGGCCAATTCCCGTCAACCTATCGAGATGAAACTTGATACATAGACTGCCAATGATAATACGTTATATCACATGCTCAGCCCTAACCCCCACAAATCTGTTTTATCAAGGGGCAGATGAGGGAAATAAGAGGACACTGATTTCACGAAATAAAATTCCCGATAACTGCCCATAACTGCGCTAAATCATATTAACCTTTTTTAAAAAATAAAGATATCGCTATTGCTTGAGGTGCCTAATATATGGTTTTTTTTTCTGGTTTATTAATGTAATAAGTCAGCGGCGTAAAAGCGGGTGGGTCATTAGAATATTAATATAGTTCAGGGGCGTGAAAAAATATGCAGTTGCGAGCCTGGGAGGCGGGGTGGGGTGGGGGGGACAAATTGAAGTTCTTATAAAATGCATTACTTGTATGCATGTTTTGTAAGACCAACTACCCATTGCTTGATATTACATTTTAAGAAAGATTTATACGAAACTAAATTTTTTTAGGAGTTGTTTAATTTCAAACTATATTCCGGCCATCAACAGTGTCTGGGCAGAGGCGTAGCGGGGGGGGGGGGCCAGATTCCCCGGGCGCAAGCTAGTTAGGGGCGCCAAAATGTGCTTTGATATTACATTATTGGTAAAAATAAAGGGTTTGAGAGCTGAAAAAAAGAAAAGGGGGCGCTTTAAAATGGATCTTGTCCCCGCGCGCCAAACGCCCTCGCTACGCTTCTGTGTCTGGGTGACAAATTTTTAAGATGTTTTGAAGACCCCTGACATAGCACATGTATAAACAAACGCTATAGGCCGAAAAAAAAGTTATTGGACCTTTTAAATCACTGATAGTTATGATTTGTATGATCGTCAATGGTAACATTCAGAAGGGCCCCTTCTACAGGAAATCAAAGTTTGAGAACAATGGGCTCTCAGTGGTCAGGGCATGCTTAAGTAGCTGATTCAAATCGAGTTTTGCCCCTGACCAATGGCGTAGCTATGGTTCGTTCCTCCCGAGGTGAGCAAATATTTTTGCTGCCCCCCTTCTACGAAAAAGACTCGTCATTTGGCCGAAAAAACCGACTCTCAATGTAAAGAGAAACGTGCCGCCTGGATTAGACTCCATCCACCCCCCCCCCCCCCCCCTCCCACCCCCCCGGGCGCGCTCTAACCTTTTAGGGCGTGAGCCCTTGTAA